TATGGAAACAAAAGCAACGGGCCTCCAGACATGTTCAGACATGTTCAAGAAAACATCCACCTATGCTCAATGTTACAAACAAAACGATCTCAGCTTCACAAAAAGAAACAAGCACGGTAGCAGCCGATCAGCCCGGACATTCTTGGGAAAAAAGGTGGAGCAGAGCCCAACCCCACCTGGAAAGTAGACTGGGACAAAAGCTGCACTTGGTCTTGCCCATTGGCCGGTGTCGGACTTCACAGTCTTTCACAATTGGCTAGTTTTAAAAGAATCAGCACGAAGGAAAGGAGGGAAGAAGGAAGGGGTGGGCCACTTGAGTTTAGAAAATGCTGCAGGGCCTTTGTGTAAACAAAGGGTTCAGCAGGTAAGAAAGAATCAAAATATTTGCATAAACGTTTTACCAGGTGGAGGAGATAAAAGATTTGAATTTCATGACATGAAAGTTGCACAGTGTTCAACTGAAAAGAATATTTAATGCTTCCTCCACCGTGAATAGGCTACCCTTCTAAGTAGTTCTGACAGTCGCGGGGTATACACACAAGTGACCCAAAAGCCCATTCCTTCACCCTGATAAACGACTGCAGAGGGATCGTGGCAGCATGCCTCTGGTGTGGTTGACATCCCAACATAAATCCAACTGCAGACTGTGACCTCATCCTGGGACCCGAGCCAGAGTTTTCTCCTGAGATCTCTGAAGTTATCAGATCTGGAAAGCATTTCACTTGCTTTCTCTTTTAGCCACCCCCCACCCCTTTTTTTTTTTCCTAACACAACAAAGGGCACCACTGGCCACAGGAGGCAAGGAGGTAAAAGTCAGAAATTGTCCACACTCCATTACCCTAAATTGCCTGCCAACGAGTGAATATGCATTGTTCCTAGGTTCAATAGAAAATAAGTGGCTACTCTTGGGAAATACCCCATCTTCACCATGCTCTCAATCTCTTCCTTCTGTCTTGTATGAAACCCCCAGGCTTGAGTGATATTCCTTGCTCTACTTCATCTGTTCTTCTCAGTCCCTTTCGAGCCATCAGCCCCACCATGGCCAGCACTGGCTAAGTGTGGAACCTGCTGCAGATGGCTAAATGCGCTTCACCTTCCAGAACCTGGTTTCTGCATCTTCCTAAGGATCTCTACAGCCTCTTGGCACCTGCATCCTCGGGAGCTCATTCGTCTAGGGGCATTTGAGTGCAGAGGGAAACACAGACTCCTGAGAGCTAGATGCCTGTAGAGCAGAGGAGAGTCAGGCTCTCAGACATCAGAGCTGGGATGCAGGGAACTTGGAGGCTTAAAAATAAAAGCATCGAGACCATTCAATATGTGAGTTAGACACTTCTCTCACTCCTATGTGGAAGCACAAATCATGACTGTCCTGTGATGGTTAGTGTCAACTGCCAACTTGACAGAATGGAGACCCACCTGGTTGATGGGCCTGTGGGGTTACTATAATGGCATCAACTGAGATGGGGAAGATCTGCTCACTGTGGGTACCACTTCCCATGACTGGGCCCCTGAGGGAAAGGGAGCAGAGCAGCAGCAGGCATTTATCACTGTCTGCTTTTTTGTTGTAAATATAATTTGAGCAGCTGCATCTAACTCTGGAGGCCCTCACTTCCCTGCCCGGACAGACTATGCCCTTGAACCAGGAGTCAGAATAAGCACTTTCTCTCTTAAGTTGCTTTACTCTCAAAGAAGTTTATGGTAGACAGGAAAAGAAATAAGGCAGTCTTCAGTGCCAAAGGGAAGGAGCTGCTCAGGAGTGTGAGGAAGACTGATACCATCACCCCCTACTCTTACAGCGAGCCCAGGCATCACTGTGTCTGGAATGGGAGGATTGGGTACAGGGGTGGGGTGGGGAAGTGTCAGGAGCTGGACAATTTATTAGCTGCTATAAAACATCAGCAATCAATAAATAATACTTCAACTAAATTCTACGTCTTTCCACCCGTTCTCCTTAGGAAAGAACAAGCTGATGCTAAAAACATTCCACTCTGCTCGCCACCCCTCATTCAGCGCATGTCTCGTGCCCTCGCACAGAGTTAGGAGGGCAGAGCAGCAGAGGGAGGCCACCACTACAACCACACAGAGCCGAAGACTTCAATCAGTTAATGTTCCAGAAGAATTCAATCAGTTAATGTTCCAGGATCTACCCACCAAACATTGACAGCTAGCAATCAATGTAAGAAGTTACTTTGCAAAATGGATTTTTTTTCTTCCCTTTGAATCGGAGACTCGGAAGCCTGCACTGCTGGGCTTCCCTGAAACATTTCCAGGTCCTTATTTCAGCTTCAGCTTTGTGTGTTGGGTTTTGCTTCTAAAAGGCAATAACACAGGGCATTGCTACTGGCTATTAAGACTGCTTTTAAGAACTGCTGGGGTTTTCTCCGCAAAGACACTACTGTTGTTTCCATCGCATTAATTTATTTTCATTTTTTTCCCTTGTTTTTCTTCTCCATTTTAAATTCTCTCTCTCCATGGTGGTCCTTAATGCTCAGGTAATATGCATACAAATGTTCCCACAGCCAGATGGGTAAGCACTATCTCCTCATGCCCTCGCTTCTAAGTGAAAAATTACACAAAGCGACATAGCCCCAACCCCTGCAGTGCTAGCACAGTCCCTACAGGGGGCGCCTCTCTGACTCAGCTTGCAATACAGTGGGTCTATAAACCAGAACTACCGACAATACCCGGCAATACAACCGAACAATTATTACAATAAACACCCTTCCTAATGCGTACATTACACAAACCCAGAAAAATTGCAACCAGCAACAAAATAAAACTCATTCAACCCTTTTTGAAATCTCAGAGCTATACACATCCACACTCCCCTACCCCCAACTCCGATCTCTACGTAAGGAGGAGAAGCATCTGCTCCAGAAGTCAGAGTCCACACATTGAGGAAGTTCCTAAGCTGTAGGGCCTTACCATGCTTTCACCCTCATGGACAAAGGAGCCCTGAAAGCTTCATGTTTACTTAAGAAATATTTACTACAGTGGATGGTTCTCCTTTAATTCTTTCCAAAACAAGGAAAGGGCCAGTCTAGCCAGTAAAGGCTCTTGCTGTGCAAACTTTTCAGTTCCTGGAACCCACGCTGGAAGGAAAGAGCTGACTCCCCCAAATTGTCCCCTGACCTCCATGGACCTGTCTCACAACACACAAAAATCAAAAACTAGTTAGAGATGGTGGTGGTGGTGGTGGTGGTGGTGGTGGTGGTGGTGGTGGTGGTGGTGGTGGTGGTGGTATTAGTAACAATAAGGCAAGGTAAGTATTATGATTATTCTAATTGTATAATTAAGGAAATTGAGATAGAGATGTTAAATAATATGCCTAAGACCCCATTGCTACAAGGAGGTCAAAGCAAGACCTAAATCATTGTACAGCAACATGCCAGTGGTAGTGCTGGCTCGCTTGATTTCAATATATACATATATATGTAAGTTGTCACATATATTCTGTGTCCTAGGAGCCACCTTACTAAGGGCTAGACTCCCAGGAGAGCAACACAGACAGAGTGGCTTAAGAAACAAGTGGACACACTCTGGAGACCCCTTTTCCTATGACATTCTCCTTGCACCAAGGCCAGAGACAGCACTAGGGCAGGTTGCCTCAGAACCGTGGATGGCTGAGTACCCAGTGCTGTTGATGCACTGGTCCACCTGCTTTCAGTTAGCTGGAGAGATTCCACCTCTTGAGCAGAGTGCATACCAGGGTGGGGGCAGGGGGTGTCAAGGCCATCAATATTTACATCTCCTGAACCTGAAGGTCAGTTCAAAAGGGCACCAGTAATTTATGAGGCTGTTGCAGTCTCTTGGGGCAGAAGGGAGAGAAGGAAGAGCCTGGAACTCTTCCCGCTTCCTCCACACGCTCTCTAATACATGAAGTTGCTGCCAACCATTGGGGCATAACAAAGTGAAAGGTGAACTTGATATTTTTAACCTAAAAAAAAATATCACATGCAGAACTCAGTGTTCAGGAATCCAATGTTATCAATGAGAACCACTCAGAAAGCTCCCCCAAATGAGACAGTGCAGGGGAGCCTCTGACAGCAATCCTGGAGTGCACAGACACTTTAAACGGAGAAGGATTGTTGCAATACATGCTGAAGCTAGGATTTGAAGTTGAAAATGAAGCACAAAAGCCTACACTTATCACTGGCTATGAAACAAGTCCCCTTGAACATTGTCAAATGTTCTCCTATATTTGCTTGCTTGTAAAATATCACACACACACACACACACACACATACACACACACACACACACACACACACACACACACAAGCCCTCCCAAGGCCAGCTAAACCCTTTAGGCTAAATATACACACAAAAAAAATTCTGAGCCCTTCTTTTAGTGCTGGAGATGTAACCCAGGGCTTTGTGGATGCTTAGTAGAAGATCTACCGCTGAGCTGCTCCAGAGTCCAGAACAAAAGAACCCACCTGAACCCCCTCCCCAACACACACGCCCACTTTACCAACTCTAAACTGCAGCATGTATATGCAAAGCAAAAGGAAAGCTTTGGAAGAAACAGACGAGGCGGGGTGCATCTCATCTCATCCAGAATGCTTGCTCAATCTTTCTTCCTAGCTCGTAGATTCTCTGGCCTTTGCAAATACAAGGTTTGTTCTGCAATTCATCAACCAAGTTTCTTTTTTTTTTTTTTTTTTTTGCTCCGACAGCATAAAAACTTGAGAAACAAAAATGTGAAGGAGGGCTAAGAATGTTGCTCAATTGAAAAAATGCTTCACTCATATATGAAGCCCTGGGTCCAACGCCCAGAACCACAGAAAACTAGGACTGGTGGTACACTGCATACTTGTAATATCAGTAGTTGGGGGTAGAGGCAGGAGGATCTGAGGTTCAAGGTTATGCTCAGCTAGGAAAGGAGGTGAAGCCAGCCTGGGCTACATGGCATCCTGTCAGAAAGGGTAGAAGACAGAAAGGTAGAAGGCACACGATTAAACAGTATTCAGATACTTTAACAGGCTGGGCATACTAACCTTAAAGCAGACATCTGTTTGGGGGCACAGGAGTTGGAAATGAAAAAGTAGGAAGACTTTTCTGCTTGTAATTAGGAGTTATGTCCAGACGGTATCCCAAGCTGGGGTCTCTTTGTTGAAACTTGAGTTTCATCTTCCTGTTTTGATGAGGACTGTCTTGAGGAAGGGCCTGCCGTGTTATAAATTATCCCATAACTCACTCCCTTCAGTAACTCTGTGGGATGGGAAGGAAGTAAATCCTGGAGCCATGCATGTATATCCCTTAATCACACACATGCCTGCCTTCGAGCCAGGACATCCCCGTTGCTCGCTGGATGGCCATCACTCACTCATCCCTGTAACAGAGCACAAAACGCGGGTACTTAGAAACACCATGCCGAAAGACAAGCGCCCTCATACCTTACCAGAACTCAGTCCAGTGGTTCACAAACTTCCTAATGCTGCGAGCCTTTAACACAGTCCCTCATGCTGTGGTGACCCCAACCATAAAATTATTTTCGTTGCTACCTCTTAACTGTAATTTTGTTACCATTATGAAAGGATTATTCAACCCCCAAAGGGGTCTCAACCCACAGGTTGGGAACTGCTGTCTTAACCACATCTGTACTGTGGCTTAACAATGAGCACTTGTCTTCCCAACCAAGGGTCCCCCCACTGTGAGAGAGGCAAAGCTTTGAGAACACACTTCAGGATTCAGGACCCTGCCTAAGCTTTCCATACCAAAGTTGAACAGCATGTTAACCCACTTGCACATGACTTAAATTAGTGCAACTGATCTGAGTGTTGTTGGTGTCCAGCTTTCCTCATCAAAAAAAAAAAAAAAAAAAAAAAAAAGACCAGTGGGATATCTTAACATGCCACTAGTTCACAGGAGTCAAAACTCACTACCAACCTTAAAAAACACCTGGAGGATACCCTGTATTTGGGGCTCATGTACCTACGTATTCTTCACACCTTGGGCCAAAAGAAAAAGAGGCCTTCAGATAGTCTAAGTTTCTACATTTTCTTACTAAAAGATGCAAACACCTTTGTTGTTTATGTCAGATTGCTGTTTGGGTGAATTTCCCACTTGGCACAAAACTGGTTTTGTTTGGGAGCGTCTTTAGCAAAACTGTGTTCTCCATGTTTTCAAGCGTGGTTGAAAACACTCCAGCTACAGAGATAAGAGCATAGCCGGCCTCACTTTTGCCAGGAAAATACCCACGGAGGGAGGGAGGACAAGTGACAGAAAACATCTGCAGGATCAACTCAGCTTCATTATCAGTCTGTCCTTCCCAACAGCCTGGGTTCTCATCAAGTTGGCGACTTGCTCAGTATTGGCAGGTCACATGTACAGTGGTCTCCAACCTCTGGGTGAGACTGAGGGGAGGAGCCTCGGGAGGGGTCAGCTTGTGAACCCTTCACACTCCAGCGTCTTTTGTAACTAAGGCTCAGACTGGGTAAAGAAAAGGCAGGGGTTAGAGAACAGGGGGGCATCAGAGAAGTCTTTTCAATTGCTTTTCAACAAAATGACCACTTCAAGGTTTAGGGCCTACAATGCAGAGAACAGAGATGTGAAAAGCAATGACAGGACACATCTTAGACACATCCTTTCAACAGCTGTGACCCTACACTGACATAAAACTCTTTTAAATAATAACCATTGTGGTATATTTAATATAATTAAAACATCCTTTGAATAAAAGGATGTGCTACCTCCTTTTAAGTTTTTTTTATGATCACTGATTTTAAGGAACTTTCTAACAAGATCATGTGTCCTACAATATAGAGCCAAAAGCTCTCTGACTGCATAGAAATGAACTGTGGTTGACTTAACTTGCAACACAACATGGTCCTACCCAGACGGTCCTACATAGATTGCAAAGCCAAGTCCTCAGACTTTCTAGATGTGCTGAGGAAACACACTAAGAACACCACCAGGCTGAAGAGATGCCTCAGCTGGTAATGGCACCTGCTACTAAGCCTGAGCTTAGTCCCCAGGAGCCAAGTAAGAAAGGACAGCACCAACACCCATAAGTTTCCTCTAACCCCCACACCTTCCCTGTAGCACAAGTGCCCACACACATATACATTAAGTAAAATGAATATATTACAACATCTTAGCCTGAGTTTAAAAAGCGCGGGTGCACGCGCGCGCGCGCGCATACACACACACACACACACACACAAGTTAAGTTCCTATTAGCAAACACCATATTTAAAAACAAAACAACAAATATAACATATCTTTGGAATGCATCTCCATGAACACTCCACCCACACAACCTAGGCTCCCCAGGTGACTTCAGCTACACTACACCTGTGGTGTGAATTACTATTTGGATGACAGACTTAAAAAAAAAATTGAGTCGCATTTGTGCTGTTTTGCTTCCAATGTTAATCCTGTGCAAATGGATAGAAACCCGGTCTTGGTGACCATCCCCCCTGACTGCCACAGAGGTCAGGAGACTGTTGATCCCAGGCCCAAAGAACAAGGCAATGCACAGTGCAGACATGGTGTCTGTCAGACATGAGGCATCTGGAGTCTCATAGCACCCTATCCCTGCTCTGCATTCCTGAGTCACTGAAGTGTGAAGGCCAAGAAGGTGCTAAAAATGGAGGTGGACAGCTGCATGTCAGACGGTGAAACGATCCTTTTACAATCTCAAGGGCTCATGCCACCTAAAACAGCAACTAGGACAGCCTCCTCCTCTTCTTCTATCTCTTCTCCCTCCTCCCCTTCCTCCTCCTCCTTTAAATGTAATACCAGCAAACCACATTTAAGATCAGAAAAGGTGCCCTTGACCACCTGAACAGCTCTACCATATTTGATCTCCAAAATTAAAAGGCAGGGAGTTAAAAGTGGTAGTTAAATTCTAGACTCCAATTTGAAAACTGGAAATTGGTGCAGGACATAGATTAAAATGAAGACAAACCATTTAATAGCATTCAGAGAGTTTTCTCTTGTTAAATAGTGATTCACATGTAGGACAAAAAAAAAAGATTAATTATAGCAGAGGACCATTCATGTCTTAGATATATCCTCAAGCATTTGTACTTACAAGAGAGTCAAGAAGTTGAGAGGCCTGCCCAGAGTGAGCTAAGAAATAACTGACCATGGCTAAATTAGTAAAGTCTCTAAAAGAGACATACAGCAAGGAGTGCAGTCAGCGAAATGTCACCAAATTACACCCTTCAATCTGCCTTGCTTTCAAAATGCATGCCCTTCAGACGGGCATGTAGTCAGCACACAGCACAGCCAGGAAGAAAATACTCCGCAACCAAAATGACAACCCAGGAGTTTGTGGCATTTATAAATGATGGTTTGAGATATAGGTTTCATTTTTCTGTCTAAATAAAATATCCATGGAAATGATCTCCTGACACATAGAATTACCCAAAAAGGGGTTGATTAGCTAGGCATCGAGCCCTACACTCTGGTGGCTGAGGCAGGAGGATTCCTACAAGTTTGAGTGTAGCCTGAGATGTTCATTGAGTACCATCAAATCACAAAGTGAGACCTTATGTTGAAAGTGTTAAGGGACACTTATAAACAAAGTGTCTCATCAACTTATTTTGATCCAAAACAATGAAAGGACCAAGTAAGTCCAAATAGGAAGCTGATTTTATTGACTTACCAGGAAATGACTCGTTCCCATATTAAGTTCTTTACCAACAGTGAACCACATGTACTCAATTTCAACCAGAATGAAACAGCCCTCCAGCACAAATGTTTGTTTGGTTAGGTTTCTGAGACAGGATCCCACTATGGATTCCAGGATGGCCTGGGACTACTAGCTAGTCCAGGCTGGCCTCAAATATGGAGTACTCTGATGTGGAGCCCCTTCTGAACACTATGAATATGTATTGCTTCTATTTGTTGATGAATAAAGCTGTTTCAGCCAATGGCCAGACAGAATATATCTAGGCGGGAAATCCAAACAGAGTTACTGAGAGGAAGGAGGAGGAGTCGGAGAGATACCATGTAGCCGCCAAAGGGGTAAGATGCCAAAGCATTACCAGTAAGTCACGGCCATGTGGTGATACACAGATTATTTAAAAAATGGTTAATTTATAAGAGAGAAATAGCTAGTAATAAACTTGAGCCACTGGCCAAACAATTATATTTAATATTAGCATCTCAGTGATTACTTCATAAGTGGATGTGGAGACCCACAAGCAGGAGAGAAACCAGTCCAGGGGAACCAGCAGAATAGAGAAAAGCTTCCAAATACAGTAGTCCTCAGTCCTCCCAGTGCTTGGATTGGGGGTATATACCACACCCTCCACCCAACTTTTAATGCCAAACTTCTAAAGAAATTGCTTGGAGGAGAGCAAGGAAAGAAGGAAACCATCATAACAGATACTAAAACCAAATTGATATTATGACAGAAGAAAAGACTATTTTTCACTCAGTTGTATATTAAATGCAAACTGGAAATCAAGGGCAGCCTGTTTATACCTGAGGAACCAATATGAACACCATTCACCCAATTAGGGCAGCCTCTGTGGGAGCCTACGACAGACAGACCATGGATGGATGCTTTATACCAATGCTGTAGACATCTATGTTTGTTTCACCACTAATATGAATGATTTGGGAATTCCACAGGGAAGCATAAATATCTCTACATCTCCGTCTGTTTAGTTTTCAAATGTTCCAGTTGCTGAAAGTTAAGAGACAATTTGTTCCTCCAGAGCGCTGGGTCCCAGAATCTTCAAGCTGACATGTCTCAACCTGGGGCAGCAGCAGAGTCAAAGTCGAGGAGGGACATACCCCCGCTGGAGGACTGGGCCAGCAGCTGCCTGCTCCTTCGGCACACTTGACTCATGAACACTGCTGAAGCATTCGGCCTATTCATCTAATTTGCCAATTTCCTGGGCTTGACACCAGTAAGAAGACTGAACATTTGTTATTGTCCATTTGTTGAGTCACAACAACTCAAGGCTTCAATGCCACCCTGAAAGAACCTGGCCAGCTGGGAGGAGACAGAAAGCACTTCCCAGAACACACATTGTCACGGCCTCTCTCGCTTTTTGATAGAAATCAGTCAAAGAGGAAACATGGTTTTCTGATCTTTCTTTCTGTCTAATCATTCTAGGAAACCATGCTCATGTCTTCCCATTGAAAGGCTGTCTTCACTTTGGGCATGTTTCAATAATGTTTGCAACTGTATCTCAAACAAAGAAACAAAAACCAGGCACTTAGGATCATTCAGACCAACACTGAAGGTCAGCTTTAACTAAGTGATTGTCTAATGTTCACTTTTGTAGTAAATCTGACCTACTTTCCATGGAAAATACTGACTGAAAATACAACAAATAAGTTCCTGAAACACCATTAGAAATGGTTTAA